ATGGGCACAGATGTTAGCCCAGGGCCAATCTTCCTCAGCAAAAAGAGGAGGATTGGCATTGGATGTTAGCTCAGGGCTGATCTTCCTCACACACAAAAAAAAGAATTGTTAGAACTATTGTAGTCTTTCTCAACGTGGTTAGCGCACACAGTCATTTTCACCTGGTCCCCTATTGTGGGACTTTGTAGTTATTTCCAGTTCTCAGCCACTACAGACAGCATACCTGTAGCTAAATCCTTACTTGGAATCTGAACTGTTTCCTCAGGATAAATTCCTAGAAATGAGGCTGCTGGGTTAAAGTGTGTATCCACTTGTACCCCTCCCAGAAGAGGAGGTGACACGTACCTTCTGTATCCACAGTGGGTCTTATCATCCTGAGAGAGAGAGAGAACTTGTTTGGGTTGGTGTTTGAATTCTAGTGAAGGTGGACCATTTTTATGTGCTTGATCATTTGTAGTTTCTTCATGGATTACTGTTCATTTTTGTTGCCTGTTTTGTTGCTTGATTTTTTAAAATTAACACCTTACATTAATATGGTAGATTTGTTATAATTAATGAACCAATATTGACACAGTATTATTAACTAAAGTCCTTAGTTTTAAGCTAATGTCCTTTTCTGTCCCAGAATCCCGGCCAGGACACCGCACTACATTCAGTTGTCCTCCTTAGGCTCCTCCGGGCTGTCACAGTTTCTCCGACTCTCCTAGTTTTGGATGACCTTCACAGTTTTGAGGAGGACTGGTTGGGGATATTATAGGATGCCCCTTTATTGGAATTTGTCTGATGTTTTTCTCATGATTAGACTGGGATTATGGGTTTGAGGGAGGAAGACCACAGAGGTAAAGGGCCATTTTTATCACATCATATCAAGGCCGCGTTATCAACATGATTCTTTTTTTTTTTTTTTGTGAGGGAGATCAGCCCTGAGCTAACGTCCGTGCTAATCCTCCTCTTTTTGCTGAGGAAGACTGGCTCTAAGCTAACATTTATTGCTAATCCTCCTCCTTTTTTTCCCCCGAAGCCCCAGTAGATAGTTGTATGTCATAGTTGCACATCCTTCTAGTTGCTGTATGTGGGACGCGGCCTCCGCATGGCCGGAGAAGTGGTGCGTTGGTGCGCGCCTGGGGTCCGAACCCAGGCCGTCAGCAGCGGAGCACGTGCACTTAACCGATAAGCCACGGGGCCGGCCCCTCAACATGATTCTTTTTTTTTTTTAAAGTGATAGGTCCTTTCTCCCCTCACTTTAATTTTATTTATTTATTTATTTTCCCCCAAAGCCCTAGTAGATAGTTGTATGTCCCAGTTGCACATCCTTCTAGTTGCTGTATGTGGGACGCGGCCTCAGCATGGCCGGAGAAGCGGTGCGTCGGTGCGCGCCCGGGATCCGAACCCCGGCCCACCAGGAGCAGAGCGCACGCACTTAACCGCTAAGCCACGGGGCCGGCCCTCAACTTAATTCTTGACTGTTGATGTTGACCTTGATCACCTGGCTTGAGAATTTTAACTTGTAAGAATTCTCCTGATCTTACTGAGGCTCATCTTCAGTGAGTCCTATATGTTGAGGGTTTTTTTTGTGTGTGTGTGTGTGTGTGTGTGTGTGTGTGAGGAAGATCAGCCCTGAGCTAACATCCATGCCGATCTCCCTCCACTTTATGTGGGACGCCACCACAGCATGGCCTGACAGGCGGTACGTCGGTGCGCACCCAGGATCCGAACCTGGGCCGCCAGCAGCGGAGCGTGTGCACTTAACCGCTACGCCACGGGGCAGGCCCTGTTGAGGTATTTTGTTTCTTTGGTCTGTTCCTGAACACATTTTAGCAAAAGCTCCTCAGGCACCACAGCTGGCCCAGCACCAAATGCAAACCCCGATTTGCCTCTGATTTCGGAGGCTAGCCACATGCCCCACCCATGTCACTGGTGGGAGTTAGGGTGGGGGAACTGAGGCTCAGAACGTTGGCAGGCATGAAGAGGGGCACTCAGTCTGCATAGACTCCAGAAGAAACCATCCCACTGGAGCCAGAATCCAGGCTTCTAGGGGCCTGGGCCCCCTCCTCGGGGCAGCCCTCTCCTCAGCACGTTCTTCGTATTTCCTGATAGGCGAGCAGATCAAGCGGGTGAAGCCGAAGCGCACCACATCCTTCTTCAGCCGGCAGCTCTCCACGAGCCAGGGGAGCTACACCGTGGTGCAGCCCACCGACGGCCTGGAGCAGGGCTGAGGGCGGCAGTGCCAGGCAGGAGGAGGGCACGGGGAGGCCCCTGGACCTGGCCCAGTGCTGTCCTCCCTGAGGGGCAGGGCAGGCTGTGGCCCTCACGTTGGGGTGGGGGCTTCCTCGGAGCGTGAAGGAGTGACTTCTGTGGCTGAGACGGTGCCTGGGCTGTGGAGAGCTGGCCGGGGGCTCCCACAGGGTCCCTCCTGCAGCCTGCCCGTCCTTCCCCTGGACTCTGAGCCCCACTGCTGTCTCAGGACCATCTGATCAGGCCCCGGCCACCCCCTCCCACCCAGGGATGCGCTTTTGTGCCCTTCTCAAGATGGACAGTGTCCCCTGCTCTGAAGTGCCCTGGGGCGGTTCTGATGGCAGGTAGCCAAGGAATAGGGCTCGGGACCTGGAGGGGGACATGTGTGTCTTCGGTCTTTTCCCTGGACTCGGGTGACCACATCTCTGCATTCCTTCTGCTGGCATTCCACCCTGTGCTGCCAGGCTGGGCCAGCGCTCTACGGGGCGGGGCAGGGCCCCTCCCTGGATTGAACCGCAGCAAGAACAGAGAAGGCAAGGCCCCCCCACCCAAACCCTCCCTGGCTGGATGGAACTGGAGGGAGCCGGCAGGACCCGGCTCCCCTGTGCCCCTCACTCAGGCATCTCTTGCAGGCAGGAGACACTCTGACCAGAAGGAAAGTGCCCTTTTGCTAGCCTTTGGTGACATCACTGTGCTGGGAGGTGGCTGTCCTTGGACAACAAGCCCACCAGACCCACCCTCCACACTCGGAGAAGCTCCCAAACCCCCTTGGGCATCGGGTTTAGTTTTGGTTTTTTCTCTTCTGCTTTGGTCCCATGAAGCCTGTGAACTCGGGCAACTCAAGAGAACGCCCGCCAACCTCAGAGCTGCTGGCTGCCCAGGAGATGGCACTGTGGTTTCCATCAGGCCTGACCCGGGGGCCACCCGTGCATGGGGAAGTCCCTCCAGGAGACCGTGATGAGAGCATGGATGAGGTGGAGGCTGGATGTGGCGCTGGTCATGGACGGCCAGGGAGGAGGCCCCTCCCAACCTTCGGGCTCCTCCGCTGTGGGCCCCTGGCTCTCACGGGCGCTCCTGGGACTTTCCACCGGAAGGAGGCGGCTGGCTCAGCACAGGGCTTCGCTTTGTCTCCTGCTCCCAGTGGAGAACCATGGGAGAGGAAACAAGAACCTCTGGTCTCCAGATGCCAGAGCCCGCTCACCTCCTCCTCCCTTTGGGGACTTTTGAACACTCCAGATGTTCTGAGCTGGGCTTGCCTTCCAGCAGCAGGGACTTTGTTATTTGTCATAATAAATAGGTGTCCCCAGCCTTTTGGAATGTCCCGGCCAGAGGTCATCTGGTCTCCCTTCCTGGAGTCACTGGCCTCACTGGCTGCCCAGCCATCCGGCTCCCCGCCCTGGTTCTCTCCTCCCACTCACTGTTTTGATTCCAGGTGAATTCTTATCTGATGGGCTGACGTGGCCTGTGGGGTGGGTGTGTGTGTGTGTGTGTGTACACACAACTTACTTGTTTTTATTCTTCAGCCTCTTTCTCCTGTTTTCTAAGCCTCCGTTGTGCCTTAACCTTTTCTGCCTGCCCTTTGGGACAAAGCAGGATTTTACTAAGTGCCCTTTGAATATTCTCATTCTTTTGTATCATGTGACGTATTAATAATAAAATCAGTTTCCAGCAAACGTTGGGGTGGTTTATGATATGAAGTAACGAGAGTGTGTTAATTACAGCCTGAGAGTTGATTGCGGGCTGCACATTTGCTTTTTGTTAACTCTGCATCCAGGGATGCAGCCCTCTGGGCTCACCCAGCTGAGCACTGATGGAGACCCAGAGGGAAGTTTTCCCGTCTTGTTGGTTGGTCAGAGACTCCCAGGGTAAGAAGGTCCCAGAGTGGTTTTGGGGTTCATGGTGGGGACAAGTGGAGAGTTCTGCAGGGAGGCAAGGGAACAAGGAGCCAACAGTAGCACCTTTGTCCCTGTCCCTAAGCTAAGCCACACCCCCACCGCCTGTTAGACCTGGTGCGTCCAGGTTCCTTCTCACACTGGGGTTAGGACAGGGCACAGTCCGAGAGCCAGTGCCCCAGGGGCGAGACCAGAGAACCCAGGAGGTTTGGGTAATTCTGTGCCCTCCCTGAGGGCTGCTCATGCCCTGGGCCCGGCCAGGAGGCTGTTTCTTCCCCACAGGTCCTGTTGGGGGGCAGGGGCAGCATCAGACCCCACCTCCGGAGCACGGTGGGCCCCACAGGAAGCTGTGAAGCAACAGTCACCATTTGGGGGTTACAGTTCACACTGTCAACATTTCCGAGCTACAAGGAGCAAGCCACGCGTCCCCACAGCAGCGACGTCCTGGGACTAGGACTGCCTCCCCAGGCATCCATGACAGTGAGTGGTGCCTTGTCCTCTGCAGGGTCCTCCGCCTGGCGAGGGCAGCATGATGCCATGATCATGGGCACTTACGGGAGCGGTGACCTTGAGCCTCAGCTTCTCGACCTTTAAGATGGGAATAATAATAGGACCCACCTCACAGCGTTGTTGAGGTGCCTTAGTGGCTGGTGTGGACTATCAGGTGTTAGCTATTTTCATCATCTCTAAACGTCCTGTGTCTGGAAAGCTGGGAGGGAGAACGGGGCCCACCTGAGAGGCCAAGGCCTGCCGATGGCACAGACACCCCACTCTGGTGGGTAAGGGGGCACCACAGCCTGGGGCGTGGCAGGCCCAGATCCCCCTCCTCTTACCCAGGCCCCGTCTGCCCTCGCCACCTGTGATCGTTCCTGTGGCTACTATAACCACAACCTTAGTGGCTTAAAACAACACACATCCATTATCGCACAGTTCTGGAGGTCAGAAGTCAGAAATGAGCCTCACTGGTTTAAGATCAAGGGTCAGCAGGGCTGTACTCCTTCTGGAGGCTCTAGGGGAGAAGCCATTTCCTTTTCCAGCTTATGCGGCTGACTTGGGGACCCCCCCACCAAGCGCCATCAAGGAGCTTCTGCTCCGGACTGACCCTTGCTGTGCTCACTCCCTGGCCCCTCCCCAGGACCACCGCTCAGTCTCCATCACTAGTTCTCCAGTTGTTTCTGGGCGTAAGTTCAGAATGTGTCTCCCTCACCGCACACAAGCACACCATTTCAGTCGTCAACAGGCTCTGCCCCACAGAAGGGCCTTTGTGCTCTGCTCCCAGCCAGCCCGGCATAAGGAGAGGGGGAAAGGGCGCTGCCCACCCAGACCACCTCACTGTGTGTCAGGCCCCCCCATTCTCCCCAGTCCAGCCTTCACTGCGCAGCCTGTGTGTTGGCCACGGCCATGTGCTCCAGGTGCAGCTGGGAAGAGACCAGCTGACCCCTAGAGACCGCCCCTTGTGGCCTGCAGAGTGACCCGGCAGAGGGAAGCAGGGAGGCTGGGTGCTGGGGAGTCCTCTCAGTTCTCTGAGGGCCTGGAGCCCATGATCCCAATTCCAGGCACCCTTGAGATGGCCAAAGAGGGCACAGGGGAGGGAGCCCAACTGGGAACTAGATCCCGGTGAGGAGCCCGGCTCTGTGTGGCCGGCAGGGTCGCTGCTGGAAGGTCCCTTCAGAGTGGGCTTCCCGGTCTGTGAAGCACTCCATCCCCTCTCCTCCGGGCAGGCGTGCTGCCCGCACCATGGGGTGTTCTCCCACCCCCTCCCCCATGGGCACCCCGAGGTCAGGCCCTGATTAACACATCCCCGTGAGGCGGCACCAGCCCAAATCCAGGCGCCGAGTGGGTGATCAGCATTGTGAACTCCAGCACCGCACCCCACCCTCTGCACACAGACACGCCCTGGCCGAGGCTGAGTCACCTGGAATGAATGAAGGTCAAGCTTCAGGGTCCGGCAGTGTGTTCCATGGTTTTGTAAAATTTGCAAAAGTAGGATTTAAAAAGTTATTTTTCGAGGCCAGCCCCATGGCGTAGCAGCTAAGTGTGCGCACCCCGCTTTGGCGGCCCGGGGTTCGCAGGTTCGGATCCTTGCCGCACACCCACGCACCGCTTGTCACGCCATGCTGTGGCCTTGTCCCATATAAAGTAGAGGAAGGTGGTCACAGATGTTAGCTCAAGGCCAATCTTCCTCAGCAAAAAGAGAAGGATTGGCAGCAGATGTTAGCTCAGGCCTAATCTTCCTCACAAAAACATAAATAAATAAAAAAACAAAATAAAATAAAATAAAAAGTTATTTTTCTTAACAAGAGCCCCTCAAATTATTTAAGCTTCAGGCTGCACAAGTCCTGGATTGGTCCCTGCCCACCAGACATACTGGCTTCACTTGTTTCTAGAACACACCCTGCAATCTCCTGCCTCCTGGCCTTTGCTCAGCACTCTTGGACGCCCCTCCCCAACTTGGCTTCCCAACACGCCCCCAGCCCACATTCCCCTCACCCTAGCCTGTCAGACCGCATGGCTGTCTTCTCTGGGAAGAGACAGGTCTCTCCTGGAGGGCCAACACCCTACTCAGGTCTAGCCCTCCTCCCTCCCTACTGTGCAGGCTTAAGCAAGTTGTATCACCTTTCTGGGCCTCCATTTCCTCCTCTCTCAAATGGGGATGGTAATACCTACTTCTTCAGGGTACTGGGGGGCTACGGTGCTGTTTGGTGATTTCTTCCCACCCCCAAGGGCAGAGCACAGAGTTCTGCTCTGCAAACGAGAGGCAGGCACTCGGTGTCCAGAGACAGGGGAGGCAGTCCGCAGGGTCAGGAGGCCTCCACTGTGGGGCCAGAAGTCAGCTCTCTGAGCCCTGGTTTCTTCATCTTGAAGTTGGGATGATCACCCCTGCTCCACGAGGTTGGGGGTGACACTGGGTAACAGATGGCAAAGCATTTGCAGTCTGCAATGGCTGCATCTGTGTGCAATTATGGCAGGTTCAGTCAGTCACTCGTCCCTTAAGACTCACCATGTTCCAGAGATCACTTCCATGCACCCTTGTTCCCACCTGCATTAATTTCCTGGGGCGGCTGTAACAAAGTATCACACACTGGGGGGCTTAAAACAACAGAAATTTATTCTCACAGTTCTGGAGGCTAGAAGTCCAAAATCAAGGTGTCGGCAGGGCCACGCTGCCCCTGAAAGCTGTAAGGGATCTTTCCTTGTCCCTTCCTAGCTTCCAGTGCTCTGCTGGTAATCTGTGGGGTTCCTTGGCTTGCAACGACATAAATCCAATCTCTGCTTCATCATCACCTGGCTTCTCCCTGTGTGCATCTGTCTTCACATGGTCATCTTTTTTTTTCTGAGGAAGATTTGCCCTGAGCTAACATCTGCTGCCAATCGTCCTCATTTTTTTTCTTTTTTTTTCATGTGAGCTGCCACCACAGCATGGCTGCTGACAGATGAGTGGTGTAGGTCTGTGCCTGGGAGCCAAACCCAGGCCACCGAAGCAGAGCAGGCCAAACTTAACCACTAGGCCACCAGGGCTTCACATGCCCATCTTCTTATGAGGACACCAGTCATATTGGATTAGGGACCTACCTCCCTCCACTTCATCTTAACTAATTACATCTGCAATGATCCTATTTCCAACTAGGGTAACATTCTGAGGCTCTGACGGTTAGGACTTCAACACTTCTTTTTTGGGGGACATAATTCAACCCATAATACCACCATAATGGTTCATTGTCTTGGTTTTCTTGGGGCTTTTTAATGCATCAAAGATTGTTATTTTATTTCTTTATTTTTTCTGAGGAAGATTAGCCCTGAGTTAACATGTTACCAATCTTCCTCTTTTTTTGCTTGAAGAAGACTAGCCCTGAGCTAACATCTGTGCCAATCTTCCTTTAGTTTGTATGTGTGTCACCGCCACAGCATGGCTGACGAGTGGTGGTCCGCACCTGGGATCTGAACCCGTGAACCCTGGCCGCCAAAATGGAAGGCTGTGAACTTAACCACTACGCCACGGGGCAAGCCCCTAAAGGTTGTTATTTTAAAATA